TTACGCACGTTTTCAGCCTTCAAAACCGAGTGGATGACCGTCAAGGGAAACGCGATTTATGCGGGTTCTCACGGAACAGAATGGCTAAATGACGATGGCAGCATCAAAAATTATAATCGCATGTTCATTAAGGTTTTTTTTTTTTGAAACTATCGCTCTCTTCTTCGTTTAAGAAGTGTAATTAAAGTGTGACCAACAAAAACGTCAAATTTCAGAAAATCACCACCTACGGTAACGTCTTCCACTTGAATTGGACCGAAAACTACCAGAAATTGAGGAGCAAGTTGAGGTACGTCATCAAAGTCCCTAAACCTAAGCGATGCCTAAGCCTAAGCCTAAGCCTAAGCCTAAGCCTAAGCCTAAGCCAAACCTAAGCCTATGCCTAAGTCTAAGCCTAAGTCTAAGCTTAAGCCTAAGCCTAAGCGTAAGCCTAAGCCTAGGTCCAAACCGAAGACTAAGCCTTAGCTTAAGCATCCTGATTAGCTTGGTTTTTAGATAGACTATCCTGGCTACGTCATCCACGAGGCTGTACTTTGGAGCGAGGTGGAAAATCGTTTACTTTGGTTTACAAAATGTAATTAAGGTTCACAAACGTTGGTTTTTCCTGCCCAGACAAGTCTCCCGAGCGCCGGTGATGAAAAACAGCTTTGACAACATGCAGGGTGAGTAAGCTAAGCTAGCTAAGCCGAATCCAAAGCCTAAGCCTGAGCAATATATCAAAAACTTAGGCTCGAATCTCCTGCTCACCACATCGGACTGCTTCTGCGATATCACCATCACCGAGATTGGGCCGTTGAAGTTGGAGCTCGGGTTTTCGAGTCTAACCTTCGTACCGGGTATTGTAGCGTACTTTTGATAAAACGTAAACTTTTTAGGCACAAATGACAACCTCATCGTCGCGATAAAAACGTTTGAACGGACCGGGTACCCGTCGACTTCATTTTTAATGGTAAGTGGCTTCGAAGGCTTAAATTCCGGTTTGGCTTAGGCTTATGCTTATTAAAGCCTTTAATATACCTTTTTTTAGCTCTTCGACATCCACGGCCAGGTCCTCCTCGAAGAGAGCATATTCCCAAGCTTAACGAAATTCGAGGGCATCACCTTCCTACCATCAGAAGACACCGTTTTTAGCTCCTTATGACTAACCGCCAATAGTACCCTTGCGAAACCAATTACGAGAAAAGAATTTAAAATTTATTGTACAATTCGGCAGCTACAAATTTTTCTCTGCTGCCATTTTTCCTTACGGCCATCTTGATTGCTGGTAGATTTTTGTAACTTCTAAGGAAAATTTGACATAGTTTTTTTTGTTACATTTTCATTTTTTACAAATTTTTCTATGATTACATCTTTTACTGAGTGGCTTAACTAGCTTTTTCCTGCTTGATTTTGTATCTATTTTTCTCGTGGTCTGCTTTTTAGGAAAGAATTCATCCCCATTTTTTAGTGTATTTTATGCAGATTATAACTTGGTACTCGTTGATCTCGTGGAATAAAGTTTTTTGCCTTTTGGTTGTAATAAATGTTCTATTCACACTTTTACACTTTGAATACACATCTGAAAACAGTGCAAAAGCTCGTGCTCAGGCGGGACCTTCAAAAACAATTATCGCCGCGAGAAATCGGGGAAGAAGAAGCTCGAGCCAGCCAGACGGCAGATCCGACAGGCAGATCGCGGCAGCCTGGCTTCATTTTTCGGAATGCCGCGAATTTTTGGGTTAATTTTTGTAAATCTCTATCCTTAATATCTTTTCATACTTTTTTTGTTGTTCTTCTTGCTGTTTAGCGTATTTTTCGAAGTTAAACCTTAGCCTAAGCCTAACCTAAGCCTAAGCCTAAGCCTAAGCCTAAGCCTAAGCCAAAGCCAAAGCCAACGCCTAAGCCAGAGCCGGAGCCTAAGCCTAAGCCTAAGCCTAAGCCTAAGCCTAAGCCTAAGGCAAACCTTAAAGGCAAACCTGCAGAGATGATTTGGGAACGTCAGGGCTGCTATTTCCTACCTTGCAATAACAATGAAAAAATCCCATTACCGAAATTCAGGCTTCCCCCACAAAACGGAACCAAAACGATCAGCAAGGCCGCGCCGGCTCGACCCGCACTAATCCGCACCTACGCTATTAAAAATTGGGCTTCAACAGCAGGCGCTTTCCATGGTTGAACCCGGACCCCAATTGATCAAACATTTATGAAAACGACTTGCCGTTTTCCCAGCCCAGAAACCCGGAATTTTTGACATTTCGCTCAATCGACTGGTGTTTTGGTGACCAGCTGCTCCAGCCCCCAAGAGACGAAAGGATGGCTGCGCGCTCCCGGGCTAATGTTCCGATTGAGATAAAATTTGGGAATTATGGATTTTAGCAATTTTCTTGTTGTTGAAACTTTTTACGGTTATACGCTCTGGTTGATTTTATTACATATTTGGAATGCCCTTGACAAGGCGCGTCGAATGGTGTATCTGACTTCTCAAAGTTCGATGCCAGGTTCAGATACCTCCCGAGTAAGCCTAGGCCAAGCTAAAACCTAAGCCTAAGCCTAAACCCCGGTCTGAACCTAAGCCCAATCCCAAGCTTAAGCTGGGGAGGCTTCGACTTTATAGCCTAGGTCTAAGCGTTGGCTAAGCTAAGCCGAAGCCTCAGCTTAAGCCGATGCATTAGTAAGTCCCAAAGCATTCCCGGAATCAATTTTAACACCCCGTTCAGCGCAACGAGCCGGCTGTTTGATGGATGTTCACACAATTTATGGCCTCCCGGAACGCCAGCAGGGTTGTTTCTTACTGTTTATTTTTGCGTTTTATTACGGAGAGCCTGTTTTGAGAATTTAGAAGATTTGCTGTGTTTGGACTTCCTTTCTATCGCTGGCCGTCTATTCCTTTGTTAACTCGCTCGATCCCGCTCTTTCTATCTCTCTCTCTCTCTCTCTCTCACGCTCTCATCCATACCCCATCCTCTCCCCGCTCGCCCTCTCTCCTTGCGCCTCCTCTCTCTCCGCTGGCTCAAATCCTACTTTATATAAAAATAGTGTTTGTTTATTATTGTGTGTGTGTATATTTGCATGCACTTCCGTTAGGATGTTCCGCTCCCTACAGCCTCAGGGAAGGGTTTTTTTGGATAGGAGAAACGACAATAGGTTTAGAATCGTCCGGAATCGACTGCCACATCAAAATTTTGAAAAATTGCGGTTTTCTATATTAGAAATAGGTTTTTGTGAAACCCTGTTTGTTCCGAAATTAGCATGCGCCGGAAGTAGGAAGAGCCTTATAAAGGGAAGGAGGAGCCGTTTTTCATTTTTGCTTGCTAAATTCAGGAAGAAACATGCAAATTAAGGACTTTCCGCGGCTTCCTGGACGGGGCCAGAGTTGAAAAACCGCGAAGCGATTTTCCAGCCCTGGTTCCCCTAAAAGTTACAACTTCCGAGCTTTTTCCTATTCTCGAACTATGGCAGGAACCTCCCATTCGACCCCTCGTTTGTTGTTCCCCCGGGCCCCGATTTTACGGTGGCCGATGTGCCGACACAATAGTGACTAGGGAGAGTTCCAGATGTTAGTAGTGTTTTGACAAGTACGTAAACTTATGCCCAAGACTCGGCCCAAGTCTAAACCCAAGTCTGAGCTAAGCCTAAAGCCTAAGCATCACCAAACATTTAAAGCTGACCTGCGCTCACTTTGTCAAAACCCTACATTTTGCCCTCAGACTCTCCGCAATGCATTCCCAAAATGCCAAGTCCCCCGCCCTGAAAGTGCAAGGCGACGTGCCCCCGCCCTGCCGTGTGTTCCCAGGCATGTGGCACCCGATTCGCTCGTGTTTATTCCTTCGTCGATAGGCCTCCCGGGCATCGGCTTCTCCCATCAGCACTCCACTGCAGCCAGCGGAAACGGTGAATTGCCAACAGCAAGACTCTGCTCCCTCGAAAAAAACAACAAACTCCCTGAAGGCCAAGGCAGTGACTTTTGAGCTGGATTTGAAGGGTACTTTGGATCCAGACCAAAAATAAGTTCAAGCCCTAGCCCCTAAGCCTAACTAAGCCTAAGTCTAAGCTAAGCTCCGACTAAATACCCAAAATGACTAAGCACAAGCCTAAGCTAAGCTAAGCTTTAAACTCGACTAAGCCTAAACCTCAAACCTAAGCCTAAACTAAAGCTAGAAGCGCTAAGCTAAGCACAAGCCTAAGCCTAAGCTAAGCCTAAGCACAAGCTAATTTTATTTAAACTTTAAACTAAGCCCCCTAAGCTAAGCCTAAGCCTAAGCCTAATCTAAGCCTGAGCTAGGCTTGTACTTCCCTAAAAGGCTACAGCGCTCCTCAAGCCCAGGCAGCGAACTTTTGTTTTGCGCTCCTTTGTAGGTTTTTTTCGCTCTCCAGACACTAAAGAGTTTGAGCTACACAGCAGCTGGAGCAGAGCAGGCGATTTTCTTTACGAATTAGCATCTAGGTGTTCGTACGTTGCTCATACATATGTAGCCTGGCTGGGTTTTGACCTCAGGTGCGTTTCTGTGCTCATCAGATGTTCGCTTCATGGGATCCGAAACAGCGCTTGGGGAAAGACGATTTCTAAAGCTCTTGTTAAGACTGTGACAAATTCATCTCTCGTGAAGTCGCCCTAAGATTCAAAACCTGGCTAAATTCCTTATAAACTTTTGCTATATGCCTTCACTTCTTTCGAAGGCTCGGAGCATGACCCCCACATGTGGTTCTCCAAATTGACACCCCAATCCCCTCCTGTATCCACATCAGGTTCCCCATCATGCTACCCTCACTGTGTGTAGCATCCCGTTTTGGAACCTGAATGAGGCGACCTTTACACGCCAGTTGTTCCTTCACACCACCATTCTTCCACCTCCTCACACTACGACCAGGAGGATCAGCTGATGCTCATGGGGAGATATTTAATGCTGAGTTTAGTTTCCTTGGTATTGTGGCGGTTCCTTAGGAGTTTAGGGAGGTTCACGCTACTCTCTCTCGTTCTCCCTCGCTCCGCTCTTTCCTCATCTCTGCATCTTCTCTCGCTCACCCTCTCACTTCTTATCGGATTATGCGAACTTACCTGTCACACACGAATTCTTATGTGAAAAGTTAATTCTTAGACTTTTTCTGATAAGCGAGAACAGAAGACGTAGAGAGAGAGAGAAGAGAGAAGAGAGAGAGAGACAGAGAGAGACAGAGGAGAGAGAGGGAGACGTAACTTAAAGAACGACAGAGGACGAACGAGGGAGAAAAGAGCGAGAGAGAGAGAGAGAGAGAGAGAGGAACAGGCAGGTGGGGGTAAGAGGAGTTAGATATTTATTTTTACGTTACTTTTCCTCCTACAACCCATTGCGATAAGGTATTCCATCAATCGTGGAGTCTATTGCGGTCCTTCCCGTGCCTCAGGGGCAACAATTTCCATAATCCATCCCCACCTTGACTAGCCTCCCCAAATCGAACCATTCCCAGATCCATCCGCCCCACGATAAGTGGCTATTTATTTTTCCATGCCCCACCACAATGCAGCACGGCCATCAAACGTCCCAAGGCGATGGTTAGCGTCTCGCTCTCTGCATATTGAGACCCGCAAAATATGGAATCGCATATTTTGCAGGGAAACACGCAAATTGAGCATTGCGTAGGCCTCCATTTTATTGTTGTTTTCCGCAAGTGGTCTTTGCTAGTTCGCTAGCAAAGGTGGTAAGGATTTCTGTTTTCGTAAAATTTGCATGGAGAGTTTACTTGCCATTTGAAGTAGGGCTCAAAATTTATGGTTTTCCGTTTCAATTTCCCCTTTTCTCAAAGGATCTCTGCTGGCTTGCTTGTGTTCCGCCCTCTTTTTGAACTCACCATCAGCACTCAATGCTTATCACCTCAAAAAAGCACAGCTTTCCGCAGCTCTGACGGACATCCGGTGCAATTCTGCTATTGGACTTCGTTAGAAAGTGGACTTTTTAGCTAAATTAAATTTTTGAGAATGCTTAGTTCTTGCAAATCCGAGCTTGAACTCACCCTCCAAAACTCGTCCCAAAAAATTTATGGCATTGCCAGCAGTTTTTTATCGTCACCCGGCAACCCCAGGAGCCGACCTCCCCCAAAAAACCCACATCATACACCAACATCGCAGAGGGCCTGATGTGATTTTTTGTGTTTTTTCTAGTTCAACTTATTTGACCCCGAGAAATACAGTAATTTTTTCATTACATTCAAATTTTGCGCTGAATAATTTGAACTTTGTAGTCATTTTTCTCTTCTGCGGCGAGTTAGTTTTTAAATGCAACTTAATTAAAAGTATTTTAGACTTATTCATGCACTAAATTTTCATTTTTGGCACGCTCCCTTCGAGGCGCTTATCGCTTGCTATCAGCCGACGCATGTTCTTCTACCACGCCCATCGCTCGGGCGTAATCTTTTACACACTTTTTGGCGCGTCGGTTGGACAATTTATGGGAAAGTGGGGGTGTTAGCTGAAGCCGGATACATTCCGCAAATGGTTTCTGCTGGTTTTTGCCTTATTTTTCGAACCTATTTAGCATTTCTGATTTTCTATTGTTTTTTTTTGTATTTTCGGATTTCCTAAAGAATCTCGGCTAGCTCTCCAGGTCCATTTTCGAGTGTGCTTTTGTTCTTAGGCAGTTCCTTGAAACTTTCCTCAGATTGTCTCTGCTAGTTCTCTCTTCGTAGGAACTCTGATCTGATTCTTTAAGCCCATCGGCCAGCTTTGAGGTATATTTAAAGTATAATTGAGAATTCCGCTTTTTCCGCTTGAGACCCTCCACAAATGATTTCTGCTAGTGCGCCCATCCAGCTTTTCGATTGTCTGAAAGTCAGGAAGAGTGTGCCTCCTAAAAAATCACTGTCAGCTCGTCCTTTCGAGATCGTCCGATTTTTTTAGCGGTTTTCTTGATATTGAGAATCCACGTGGTCCGCAGATTCCACTTATTTGGGTTCACATTTCCGGCGGATCCAATTGATGCTCTTTTGAGCCTCTTCCGTTTTTCCTCCCCCAACACTTTTTTTCCATCTTCTATTGCGTTGTTTTATCTTTTTCGGCTGACGCGAATAGCGCTGAATCAGCCACCCCCCAAAACAGTCATGTGGGAATGGGACGCGTTTCTTTTGGAATCTTTTCGGTCAAAGCTTGAAAACTTTCTCGTTGAGGTTTTTATATTTTCGTTATTAATCATTTCTGCTTTTTTACCTCATTTTTGCATAGCTATTTTGATTTTACATTTTATTTGGCATTTCCGGATCGACAGCAGAAAACGGGTAGCTTTCCCTTCTGACGTACTCGCCCATGTAAGTGATGAATTTTTATGAGCATTTTTGAGCTATGTTTTCTTGCGTTTCTTTTTGGCTATTTCCGCCTTATCCATTGCCGAAAATAAGATTATGCTTGTTTTTGTAGGATTATCACCTGTTCTAGCGACGCTCTCGCTCCCTCTATTTCTCTCTCTCTCTCTCTCTCTCTCTCTCTCTCTCTCTCTCTCTCTCTCCCTCTCTCTCTATCAAGTTCCTGGATCGAAAATGAGATTCAAACCCCGAAGGTGGAACACTGTTAGAACGAGGAAGATCTCCGCGTTATCAATTCCCAGTTTCCACTTCCGCTTGTGCTTTTTTACACCTCGGAGTTATGCCAACTTCAAAGGCAGTTCAGGCGTAGCGACGCATACACGGATCGTTTTCCTAACGGTTCCTCTTCCTATGCCTTAAAATATGTTAAAAATCCACTGTTTCTCAGCTTGGCCCATAGCCAAAAAGTACATTGCAATGCTTGGAGTTGGACCAACGTTCTCAAGGAGTTCAAGAAAACGACCATTTCCCTAAGTGAGCATAACATTCATATACTTTCTCGTGCTTCTAAAATATCACCATTTCGACCCGAACTATTTGTTTTGACGACTTCAACGTTACCCCGAATTTTTGCCCGCTTTTTCCTGGAGTTCATTAGCCGGCAATAAATTTCATGCAATTTCATAGACGTCTAAATTCAGATAAAATACCATAAAATCCACCAAACCACCTCCGATCCAATTTCTCTTCCTATTTAAAAATTCAATCCCACCGCCACGACCCCAATCACCAACTTTTTTGTGCCCAAAATTTTCCCCTGCCGACAAAATGAGTCGACGCCGCCTATTCACGCCTCCTCATTTTTCGGACGCGTGGATTTCCACGGCTCCTCGCCATGAGGGGGTGGGTGGCTTTTCGTGCCTTTCACGCCGGACCCGCAATTTGACGACTGTAAAAATCGGCAGCTGGTCACTGGCGTTCGGGATTGCTATACAAATTTTTGTAAAAAATAGAGGTCTATGGCGAATCGGCTTTATTTCGCGTTTCAGTGACCTCTGATTTTGAAAAAAATTGATTGACGTTTCTGTAAATTTGCTCGAAACATACCGTCTCGCTTTCTCTCTCTCTCTCTCTCTCTCTCGCTCTCTCTCGCCTTTTCTGATTTTCTGAATTCTAATTCATAGCATCGAAAAGTTTCGCTAATTTAGAGACAGAGAAGGAGAGAGAGAGAGAGCGCGCGAGAGAGATGCATAGAGGGACATAGAGTGCGAGTGGAGAGAGAGAGACACAGGGAGCAAAAAAGCGTCCTTGAAATAATTATCCGATGCCCCTATATTCTCTTGTATCTTCAGTTCATGCTCCTCACCTTATCTATTTTGGAGCTTCATCATACGTTCCTATTTCAGGTAAATGAAAGCCGGTGATGTGTCGATATGCATCCCCCGGCCCTGCCCCCGGAGTGCTGAAACTCTACAGCTTACGATGGTGGTACTGTCGATCGGAGCGGCCTCTCACTTTATGGTAATTCTGATTTCCCTGTCGTAACTGGTTAGTCTTAGCTCTTCCTCGACTCGGTCGTCGACAACCTCCTCCCGGCTGCCATGCCATTTTTGTTGACAATCTACAAGGATAAGGATGAAGGTATGTAGCGAGAGAGAGAGAGAGAGAGAGAGAGAGAGAGAAGGTGAGAGAGGCAGACAGAGTGAGAGCGATAAAATCTAATGAATATTTTTAGCCGATAAAGCCTGGGAGTTCCTCGTCTCCAGCCGCATCTACGGTCTAGCTGTTGGCTGCTTTCTCTCCGTGCTCTTCTCGAATCGGTTTGGGAGGCGGGTGAGTAAAGTTTCAAGCTAGGCTGGGGTTCGGGCTTAGGATTAGGCCTTGTTTGGGCTCAAGCTTAGGCTGACTGAGGCTAGCTTTTATCAGCATTTTCCGAAGGGTCTGTTTAGACCCCGATCCTGATCGGCACGCTGCTCGACATTTTCGGCGTGGTCTTGTCAGCACTGACTGTTTACCTTCCTGGAGGCGTTACAGCAGCTGTTGTTGGCCGATTCATCAATGGAATTGGTCAAGGGATTGTGCAGGTTAGTAGTTCTTAAGCTTTCTTGGATCTTAGAACGGCTACATTTCTAACCTAGCTATGCCCTCAGTTCAGATTTTTGACGAATACTTTTCCAGACCTCCGGCTCGGTGATGCTGGCCGAAATCCCGCCACTTCGGAAGCGTGGAACAGCTTTGGCGACTTTGGTAAGCCTAAGCCCAAGCCTAATCAAGGCCTTTTCCAGACAATGTGGGCCTGCATGGGAGAGTTGGGCGGGATGCTCATTTCACTTGAAGAGCTACTCGGAACTTCACAACACTGGCATCTGGCCATGGCTGTGCCTCTGCTACCGTTGATTCCTGCTTTATACATTTTGTATCGTGCCCCGGAGTCGCCGCGGTAAGTAGTAACTTTCTCGTAGATAAGTGATTTTCTTAAATACATAGATTAATAAAAAATTTGATTAACAAATGTATAAGGTAGAGAATAGTCAATTTTTTAAGGTACCTCTTCATGCTCAATCGAGAAGTTGAAGCTCGAAAAGCGTTGAGTTACTACCAAAATTCATCAGACGCTCGGCAGACTGTCGATGAGATTTTTGAAGAGATGAAATTGGTAATTTCACTGCTTAAAGAGGAGAAAGAGAGAGAGAGAGAGATAGAGAGAGAGAGATAACGAGCGAGACGGGGGTTTAATGGAATAGTGGTATTGATGACATTTTTCAGGAAGACGTCGACATCAACTCCAACAACCCCAAGATGAAAATGGCCAGAGAGCCGGGGGCCACCCAAATTTTCCAGCGCCTAAAAGATGGCTATTTCGCAAGGCCGCTCCTGATTGCCCTCTTCGTGCAGTCATTTGTGCATTTGGACGATTGGGTACGTCGAGTTCCCGTGCTTCAACATACTTTGAAAGATTTTCTGAACCTTTAGCAAGATTAAAAACTTTTATGAGCCTTCCAGGGACGATAATGGTTTTATCTTTCAGCTCTGGATTTCCTATTCTACGCAAATTTTCGAAAATGTTGGCCTGACAGCGAATCGGGCACAGAGAGCTTCCTTGTTGATGTCGTTGCCTCAGGTGCGCGAGATTTCTGATTTTACAAGTCTAAAAACATCCCGAATTTAATCCACTTTAATAGCGCTTACACTTTTTCACCATGGATTACTTACGGGCTTTGTCAAGTCGTCGTTTCCTGCCTACGTGACTCCTTTAAAACTCTAATTTTCAGGCCATCATCTCCCTAGCCTTACTCGGCTGTTTCGACAATTTCTCGAGAAGAGCTCTACTGATCATCCCCACCATGGCCAGTGTCGTTCCTGGGATGTTGGCCCCATTCTTCACGATATTTGAGAAAGGTTAGTAGCTTGAGAAGGAGCAACAGCTAAAATACCAACGTTTGACTCATTGTCGGCATTTTAATGTCCGCATTCCGACTGGAAATTCTTTGGTAGTTCAGGAAATAAAATCATATTAAAGCCTTATTTTCAGCCCTACTCCACGGCATTCCCATCGCCATCATCCTGCCTGTGTTGGCCGCATTTGACCTTTCGGCTGCAGCGATATCCGGCGAAAGCGCTGGGGCCATTGTCCTGGAGCTTTTCCTGCATACCCACAAGATTCTGGGCACGGCGATTGTTGGCATTGCACAGGTAGACAGCCCAGTTTTTCTGGGTTTTGCATCACTTTGGACTTCAAAGATTCTTTACTTCTCTACTTTTAGAACGTGTTCGGCGGCATTCTGACGAACTGCTTGCTGACGGCGGTGAACCACCTCGGTACTGGGAACGTGTTGGTGCCGTTCGTGGGGATGAACGTGGTCTACGTTGTCGTCAATTATTGGTACTTGCCCCCGACGGCCGAGAAGACGCCGCAGGTGGCGAGAGAGAGAGAGAGAGAGAGAGAGAGAGAGAGAGAGAGAGAGAGAGAGAGAGAAAGAAAGATAGCGAGCGGAGAAAGGGAGAGAGTGAGCGAAAGATAGAGAGAGTGAGAACGATTGAGAACGGAATAGAGAGAGAGAGAGAGAGAGAGAGCACGGCAGAGAAATGGAGCTAATGCTAACTACATCTTTCTAGGAAGTTTCCATCCACTTCTCAGCCGATCCGCCTCTCCAGGGTACCATCACCTACATGTCGCGAAAACTCGGAGACCTCTACCACTTTTTCGTCCCGGCCAAGCTGTTCAGTTTCGCCAATATACTAAATATTCTAATTTTCGTTGCGCAAGTCGCATTTTGCGTCATTTTTATGAATGTCTTTACGGGGTCGGAGTCCGGATTTTCCGCTTACTGGTCCATTAAAAAATAGCTACCAATTTTAATTTATTTAGTTTTCATTTGCTTTTTTAGCGTTTACTTGTATTTTCCCTTATCCCTGTGATTTGCATATTATCCATCCTTCCACGTACATATTATTCTTTTTATTCCATTTCCAAGTCGAACTATGGGTATCCAAAAATCAATTGAGGGTAGTCGCTTTCGCTGAAAAGCCCGCGTGTGCGTGTCTTTGTGATCCACAAAACTGTGATAAAACGAGCTTATTCCCGGATTTATTTTGTATTTTGTATTATAGAACAGCGCTGCAATTTTTGAAATCGGCCAAATTGGATACGCGTCTAACAAATCATTTAATAGGTATCTAATAAGGCTTCAAAATTCAAAATCTCAAATCAATTTTTTCAATTCAAAATCAATAAAACTAAGCGTTTCTAACGAATTGAATAGGTATCTAACAAAACTTTAATTTTCTGCTAAATTTTTTAACCAGTAAAATGAAGAACCAGCAATGTTGAGATCACAGCAGCGAGCCAAGAGAAAATGAACGTAAACATTCCTAAAAATGCAAGTAATTCTTAACGGTTACATCAGGCTATTCTTCGACGTCCGGCATCCCTCCCTGATTCCGGAAAAGATCCTAAAAATCATCCCTTAAGATCATTAAAATGATTTCGATACCTCAAGAGCAAAATGCGTCGATCCGTTACTTGCCGTATTCTCGCCCGCTTCACCAGTTGCTGCGCTGAAATAGAAAAAAAATAATAAAGATAATTTAAAAATAGTTATTATTTATTAATTCTCTTAACAAAAAATACCATAATACTTTTTAAACTATTTTAAAATAAATTAAAATTGAAAACCTAAATCAATAGGTAGCTAAAATCCTGTCTTAATCAAACCTTTTCAAAAGCAAAATCGCTTACATTATAGCCTTGTAAAATTTGTCCTCCTCGGTGTGCACCCATGTGCTGCTCCTGGATTTTGGAGCAGTAGCCCTAGACAACGCAGAAATTATTTAAAAACTGTCTTCATTACCTGATCGTCGTAAAGAAGCTGCTGCTCATCAATCAGCCCTTGATCCTCAGGAGCTTGATCTTTTTGAGCATCAAAAATAAAAATCCAATAAGTGAAAAATCTCAACCTTTTAGCAGCGCGGGCCTGGCGCTTCGCCCTCGAGCAACTGCTTCTCCTTGGCGGCGCATTGGAGTGCTTTTCTAAAAAATAGATGTTAGAACTACAAAATCAGAAAACCAACTCTTTAGCTTGTAGCTTAATCTGCTCCTCGGCCTCGAAAAGTATGTTATCAAGCTCCGGATCGGGACTTCTTCTTCGTCGTCGGATTGGCGTTTCGACTTCCTTTTCTTGTTCTAAACGGTAAATTAAATTTGCTTAGGTTCGTTCAAATTACGTTGAAATTAGCAAAAAACTCAAAGTATCCTGGAAAGTCTTAATAGAACACTAAAATTATAAAAATTCTCATTCTCAACAATAATAGAATAATACAATGCTTATCCCTCTTATAATACAAAATATAATAAAATAATACATATAATTTAAATTGCCTATAATCCTATCATAGGAAAATATAATGCTTTAAGCGTCTTAAACTACTAACAAAAATTAATTTAATTTCAAGAAAACCCACGTTCTCCTCGGCCCCTCCGTAGAGTCTGGCGGATAGTGGACGAGCCCTTTGCTTTGGAGAAGGCGTTCTCTTCTAAAAAAATCATTTATTGTTTTAAATTAAGTTACATTCCATTCAAATACCGTTTTTAATTATTAAAACCAATTAAAAATTGCATTAAATTAAATTTCTTAAACGCTACCTCCTATGATACTTTGCCCGAGCTTTCGCGTTGATCCGCTCTCGTTCCTCCGGATCGGTGATCGGAAACCGTGACTTTTCGGCTTCGGCTTTTCCTCATCTGCTGCTGGCTTGTTCAAGCTTCCATTGAGTCTCTTCTAAAAGGTAGTAGCTTAGGAGTCCGAAAGTGCGAAAACCCACTTCCTCCTCCAATACTCGCGCTTCTTCATGTCTTTGTGCTTTTTCTGCTCGTCCGTCATGTTTTTCGTTCCTAAAATGATTTTAAGCCAAAACACAAATTTAAAAAAACACTTTATAAATAAAAATACATTTAGAACAATCTATTTCCTATTTAAAAAGGTAAATAAGTACCTCACGACTTTAAAAATTATAAAATTAAAATGCTTACTTCTTGCGCATCACCTCCTGCCATTCCTCGCGCGTGTGGCCCATTTTTCTAGAAAAGAACGTTAAATAATGGAAAAACCACGCGTCTTACGTTCTATGGTAGTACCACGTCTTCCTTTTCACCTCCAGACGGCGTGCCGGGCGTGAAATAGGGCCGGAAAAACCGGGGTCCCTTCATCGATGAAACACGGAGGCTTTGTTTTCTTTCATCTAGCCCTTTTTCTAATAATAAAATCTTTTTAAAAACAGTAAAATTAGGGTTTTTCGAAAGTTTAAATCAAAATTTCTACATACAGCTCGTCGCGCAGCATCGGAATGCCGGAACAGGATTTCGGAAATTTGGCGCGCAGCAACTCGGCGCAACGTGCGACTGGGTCCGGGTCGTCTGGCGGCTGAAAATCAGGGAAGTGAGATGTACCAAAAACTCCAAATTATATTCTCTAACGTGGCATAAGCTTTATAAATGGACTAAAGTATTATATCCGTTATTAAAAAGTACAAAATCCAAAATTTAGGCAAATACCGTACAAATGCTTACAGATATGATTCTTCCCGTAGTCGTAGGTCTGGCTGGTAAGGAACCGAGCGGCGCTGAAGTCTACGAAAGTTCAAAATTAACCATTTATTTCTGTTTTATACCTCGAACGGGGGCTCGCCGCTTTGTAACAGTGGCTTGCGGAGCCGCAGAGGTTGATGGAGATGGCGCAGAATCTGTACGAAATCGTTTAATGATGCTTTTAGAGATTATTCCTACAAGATCCTTTCTTAAAACGAAAATACGTAAAACAACAGATTTTCGAAGCCCCAGACGCTCAAAAAATATTTTTAACGCTGCAAAGTAAAGTTTTGGAGTTGAGTTCGACAAGAAAGAAGCCTCCAAAAAATCAAACCTTATAAAATACACACCCTTTCGGAGGACACAAAACCATAAAAAAATCTTTAGTGTCGAAAATCAAACTTTTAGAGACGATTTCTGCAAAAAAGCGAGCTTTCAAAATCAAAATACATACAATACTACATTTCGACCTTTAGAAGCTCAAAGGACCGACTGTGCAACGTTCCCCAGTATATCATCAAGCGTAGGCGGCTTGGTTTCCTTCATTTCGATCTCCAAATCGCCTGTGTCATCTGAAAATTCAGAATCAATTCTAGTTCTTAACCAGGGTTGAAAAGCCGCTTCGCGACTTTTCAACCCTGGCCCCGTCTGATACCATCATTTCCTGCACTTTGCATAATTCTCGCGATTTTTGATGACAAAAATGAGAAACGCTACCTCTCTTCCCTTACATAGGCAACCGCCACATCCGGCGCATGCTAATTGTTTCCTAACAAAGAGGGTCCTGGATTTTTCAACAAAAACCTAATTTTAACGTCGAAAACAGCTAATTTTTGAAAATTTTGTTAGTGTGCAGTCATCCCAAGGCCATTACGCACCTAATGACGTATAAAACATACCCCTAACTACTCCCCTTATTGAGATACTGCTGGAACACGCTGACGGAAGTTGCATGCAAAGTGGCACACACACACACACACACAAACACTATTTTTTTATATATAGTAGGATCCTAGAAAGCCCATTTTTAACTTTTTAAAACTCACGATCCTCCTTCGGTCGAACCATCTGGGTTGCCTGTGCCGGTCGAGACAAGCTGGCCCGAATTTGAGCTGCTCCCACACAATTCGAAAACAACGGCTGCATCCGCACCGGGGGTTGGCTAGCCGGAATGTTTCCTTGAAATTGGCCGGCTCCAACGACTCGCGAGAAGAGCGGCGCGATTCCGGCAACGTTTCGAGAGAGGTGGGCTAAAAACCAGATTTAACTATTTCGATTTACCTAAATGTTCCCAAAATTCGAGATATGCCTATTCACGTCATTTTTATCTTGCTTTTGACAAAATTTAGCCATAATTCAAGCGTAAAACTTTTTAAAACCTTAGAAAATGTTTGAAAGCTCGAGCTTTTTGGCCGAAAATTGGAAATTTTTAGTCAGGAATACGACAATATTGTTTTTGATACTTCTACT